TATCTAATTCCGTAATATCTATCCCTTTAGCCAGTAGTACTTATCTTGATTCTCATTATCTTTTCAACTGGAAACCCTTACTTGCTATAGTTTAAACCCAAAATATCTAACTAAGAATAGAAGACCAAACACAAATAAAGATCATGCTGAGACAGCTTTGAGAAGGTTGGTGTATATTATTTTCAGTAATGCTGCTCTTAATATTTCTAAATATTTTCAGTAATGTTCCTCTTTTTAAAAAAAGTGGATGCAGGTGTTTCGAGCTTTTTTGCTTGGTTTGTTGGTTTTGTGTACTGATTACTGCTCATCATAAAAGTCTATGTATTTAAAGGAATTTTCAGAAAGTGTTAGGAAGGGTGAGATTATAATTTGATTCCAAGCAAGGAGTTAATTCCTGTAGTTTTAACATAATTTTACAGTACTTAGTGACAGGCTTGCATATGCTGAAGTAACTGATTCAAAAGTATTCTTAAGAAGTATTTAACCCCCATGCTGATTGCATTTAATTTCCATTAGTGCTGGTAGAAGTCAGCTCTGCATTCTAACTGGTTGCTTGCATATCCCTACATAAATACCTGAAAGCCAGTTTAGCCTGGGTTTGTATTACAGTGGAGGTTTATTCCCTATGTGTTTTCACATAGTGTTTTTGTAGATACTTAAGGGTATACAGGTGGATGGCAGGAAATTACTAGGGATTGCCTTCAGTGGGGGGAGTTCCTCCTCTTAGTCTCCATCCCTTCCATTACCCCAAAATTATTGGAAGGAAATTCTGTGAAGGGAACTGCCTAGATTGTGTTTTGGCAGCATGAGGTGGATGAATTTGTTTTCCTTCAAAGAAATGTACTAGATTACGATATCAACTAAGAAAAATCAGTCTTAGCAACGATTAAATGTGACTGGGAAAAATTGCTGCGGAAAAAATGCATGCAATAAAGTGGTCTGACATGCTTTTCACTGAAGGCCTGATATTTTCAAAACTCAAAGGCTCTTTCAATTGTAAAGCTTGTCTATTAAAATACATTTCTAAAGAATAATATGAATCATACCTCATGTGGTATCCAAATCTGATGGTGTGTGGGGGAGAAAGAGATGGCAAAAATACAAACATTGTACTTGGGTAAGTCAGAACTAAACTAACCACAGGTAATTTTAAAAGCCCTTGTCCAGCACCTCTTCTAAGTGTAGCAGCTAAGTTGGACCAGAATCCTGGCATCTACTGTAGAAGATGAAGAAAGAGACTGAGTACCACTAAGGATAAACTCATTTACGATTTTAAAAGTTAGCTAAGAGATCTTAGATATTTTATTACCAGCTGTCATAGTCTAAACTGTGTCGTATGGAACTTGCACCAGATGAACCTTTGACATAGGTGGAAACTTCTTCTACCAGAGACGGTTTAAAAATAGTGATTATATTTTTGTGACCCTTTTTACTTACACACGTCCAAAAAAAAAAAAAAGTGCCCCACTTCATCACTTCAGAGGTGATGTCTGCAGTTGACAGTTGTGTGAAAACTTTTTTGCCTTTTTGTCTGATAGTACTGTTGAATAGAGTACTTTTTTCACTTGTTCTTTAATAGCAAGAGAAAAAATAATAGTAATGTTTTGAGTATATTATGCATTTAAGAGTATGGCTTTTCTTGTATAGTACTAGAGCTAGTTTGGCTTGAGGACTTTTTCCCCATATTTACAAGACCAGCTGGTTTTGCACTTTGTAATTGAACAAACTATATGGCTGATAGATGGCAGGAAGTTTTCATCAGTCTTTGGCTCCAGGCACTGTGACGGAGCATATTAGTCAGGCACCGGAGAGGAGTCTCTACGTGCTGATAGAGGCTACCCTGATGAACTACTGTCTGCTGTCTTACGCTGCAGATGGGAACACTCTGAGTCTCAGTTGTTGTGCACTTAGTTTGCACTTATCCCTGAGTTTTGGTATCTTGTTCTCTCCCCGTGTCACGCTCACTCACTTGCTCTTGCTTGGTCTCTCCCTGTCAAGCTTCCTCCTTTCCTCTGGGGTCTGCCCTATGAGTATATAGGATTTAAAGTTGTAAATAGCATTTCATTCTTGAGAATAAAATTACAAAAGTATGTGAAGGAAAATGCATTAAAACTATTCATGACAAGTTCTGAGCTTTTCTAGAGTCACACTTGGCTTAAGGCAGGCTGGCTGTTGTGTGTTTGCCAGCGCAAAAGGGGATGATCTGGGATTGTTTGTTTAGTTTTTCCTTTATTTGGGTACTGGGACATGCCGTGGTACTAGAATGAGCATTTCCTTTGCCTCTATTTTCTAAGGGTTTTGATTAGATTATTAATTTTATTACCTAATTACATAGTAGGCCTTCGCTTTGAACAGGTTTTTCCTATCATAAGTCCCTTAAGATGTTGTGATTAAATCGTACAGTCACAAATTGTTATGATGTTTATCTGCCTTAGTAACGTGAGTGAAATTCTTCATACTTAATAATACTTCAGTTAAATCCAGCACTTTGCTCTTTCTGTCAAAGTTGCAATACTGAGATGTCTAAATAGGTTAAAATGTCTACCATGACCTGTCCTGTAAAAATAGCAAGGTGGGAGCGGGAAATGAAATATATTAAGACATTATTAATATCTGGCTCAATAAATGAATTGGAAGCCCAAGCATGGCCCCTCCCCAAGCAATGGAAGACTGTTTTATTCGTGTTTCCACATTAATTGGCAGAGCTCAGATAATTAATTACAAAACCATTACAAGTATGCAAGTCAGCATCACAATTTGGCCCATGTTATGACAACTACTCAAAAACTGATCAAAACAGATTGTTTGGAAAGATACTGGGTCCACCTGCAAAGTTTTCAAGTAATAATGAATCCATCCTTTTGTGCTAGTAGGTTATTAAATTTTTTTTGGTTTTGTTTTGGGTGAAAAGCCTCCATTACATTTCAAGGCTGAATTTGTCTGACTTCAACTCCAGTTTCTAGATTTTGTTTTGCCTTACACCACTTTAAATTAGTCATCTGACTTTCTAACCTCCAAGTTCACTTACAGAGTGATTTCAGCAGCTTCAGCTTTCTTTGGTAAGCTGAATCAATTGAGCTCTTTAAGCCTCTTGTCATGAGGCTTGCTTACCAGTGCTGAAGTTGTTTTTTCAGTCATCTTTTCAAACACTACCTGGTATTTTGATAATCCTCAAGATTAGTATTAAAATTAGAGAGACGTAGAGGCCAAAAGTAAAGTTTATTTCTATAGGATATTAGATCAAAAATACTTCAAGCACTGGTGAGATAGAGGTACAGTTAGCTGCTACTTGAAACTGCAAATCTGAAAATTTTTATGAAAGAAGTTGAAATGCAATGACTCGTCAAGCAAAAGAACTGGAAAATGTAAGTGCTGTCGACCTGAAGAGGGCAACACAACACAGCAAGTTTCAGCGTCTTGTTGGCTAGTGCAAAATGCTCTTGAATAGACCTGTGTGTAATACATTATTTAACTTTTTTCTTATTTATTAAAAATGACATTTTCATAAAGGACCTGCAGAAAATAGATCCATTTATTTCTTAAAAACTTCCTTTTACAAAGAAGACGTTTGAGTGAATAGGAAAATAATGTGAAATGATGGTTGATTTGTGTAACAGAGCTGTGCTCAGCTGAATTTCTGTCCTGAAAAGAAAAAAACGGACTCTGATTCATCATCAATTGAGTACACGGAATGACTTATTCTTATAACTGATGGTTCAGCACTGAAGAAACACTAGCACGCTTTATCCAGTTTTAAATTACTTCAAAGTCAAAGCTCTGTGAATGAGAAAGTTTTA